CTTACTGGCCTTGAAAGTAACATGAAAATACCAGCTTATGTAAAAATTATTGATAATCCCTAATGAAAATAATTTGTGATGATTCGTTGCATAGCACGGTTCAGGTGTGAAAAAATTTAACTCAGTACTCACTGCAGTGAGTGACAGAGAGCGCATTTTCTTGTCGACGAAAACTAGAGGTCACGGACTGACAGACGGACGGACAGACATGCAGACAGACGGACATGGCGAGCACAATAGTGAATTTTTTCCATAAATGAGAAAATGCGCTGAAAATTAAAACATACAGTATACAAGTTAAAACAAAAGATTCAATGATTGATTGGGAAGCATCTGCTCTCATTAGCGTTAAAGTGACTGATGACTGAAATTTAAGGAGTTGAAAATCATTCAGTTGCAACATGCGGTCAATGAGATACTTCTGTATTAATAGAAAACTCTCCTATTTAATAATTATTCTGAATACAGAATGTGGAAACTAACACTTGTCACTGTTTTTATGTATGTTTGATTAAGTTGCCTTTTCATTAATTTTTTAACTCGCATTTCTTTCATCGTTTTCAGGAAACTGCATCTGTTCGTTCACTGGATGTCAAAATTAATGATCTCCTTAATGCNGAGAAGGTGAGTTTTTAGATTGCAAGTCGATAATAAGCTTGGATTTTCCGGGCAACATTTGCTCATTACCACACAATACAACCTCTTACTTAATTTTATTTAATGGCAAAGCCTGCCAAAGCAATCTGCTGTGAGACCAGCACTTGTCCAAGCACGAACAATACAATGGAGTTTGATTTTAGCCCATAAACAAGTAATAAAAACACACCATAAATGTGGCACAATTTTGTTATCAAAAGCACGTATATCATTTTATTGAAATCGTATTATCTGTTCAGAAATTATGTTGAGTTCAAATTGACGGTTAATTTTATAATTCTAGATTCGTTCCCTGTTCTTAAATTATACTGCAAAAAGAGATTTTATAACTAGCATATTGCATTGGTTGTTCCGTGACGTTGAAGATATTTCAAATGATAAAAGCCCATTCCTTGCAATTATTCTCTTTGGTCTACTATATCAATTTTAAACATTTCTTGACCAGCTATTTATACATAAAAACAGTTTGTAATGATGATAAATTTAACATAAAATTCCTTTAATGAGTTTAATAATAAAAATAATAATAATAATAATAATAATAATAACAATTATATTAATAATGATAATAATAATAGGAATATTAATAATAGTAATAATTGTATCAACGACAGCTGTCTCAAGACGTGATCGCCACGAAACGCGCCGTGACCGCAAGCCACGCCAGCATCGAGCAGCTGTTGCACTTCTTCATCAAAAGTTCCTGCGCCGAACTGACCGGTGCCGACCTCCCTAGCCCTGCCACGCCACAGCCCGCCATCTCCAGACAGAGCTCCATGGAAGGAATTTTTAATATTCTGCCACCAACGGGAAACATCAAAAGGGTAAGGTTTTAATACGCTTTGGTCCTGACGAACCATACCACCAACATACGAAGACTCGAGGTTAAAGTTTAAGGTTCGAAACCCGCAATTATTTGTTGAAAATTCTTGTGATAATCGGCAAAAAATCGGCGAGGGGACAACATAACAAAATTAACTGTAAAAGCAGTAGACAATTTACACTTGCGTTACACATGTAAAGATAATTTATTGTACTCACAGTAAAATATTTCTAGTTAAAAAGGTATAATAATTTCGCTGTTCTCTAAAGGTGAAATGCGACCACTCGAGCGACGGAGACGTTGGCTGGACGGTGGTGCTGCTGCGTCAGGACGGCTCTGTTATGTTCAACAGAACCTTAGACGAGTACATACAAGGCTTCGGTGATCCCAGCGGTGAAGTTTGGATCGGTGAGTGCATTTAGATTCTTTATTTTTAAGAAAAAGTTCTAGTTTTAATCGAATTTATACTACATACGTGAGTGAAGCGAGCATTATTCTGATCCTATGTTTTACGTTGGTTGGCCTATTGTGGAAAACACTCACAAATGTATTCAGCTTCCTAGCTGTCTATTTATTTATTTGATGCAACTTAGATCACACATGGGCCAAATTTCTGTCAACCGGCTTGTTGGAACTTCTCAATGCCGCATCTCAATAAATAATCTTCAATCAAATGCATGCATGTGAGTGTAATTCATAATTTCATCTCAGGGATAACCCTAATGATTTTATTTTAGGTCTGGAGACGCTTCACGCTCTCACCAATTCGAGGCCCCACCAGCTACGTGTCGAACTCACGGACTTCAGCTCAAAGGCGGCATTTGCTCGCTATGCTTCCTTCAGGTAACACCTCGACAGGGTCGTCATCATTAGAATTATTCATTTAATTCTATGATTAAATTTTAAATTATCTATGCAATCTCTCAAATTATAGATTATAAATACTTTTCGTGTCTCAGAACAACTTTTAGTATTTAGGCTTCTTAGACCAGTGGCCCAGACCCAGTATTTAGACTTTTTAGACCACAGTGGCCCAGTGTTTAAAGTTCAGAGTACCAAGATTGGCGCAGAGAGGCGCGGGTTCGATCCCAGCTCTATGCGCCAGTTTCTGGTCAGAATCAATTTGCGTGAATTAAGCTGATTTTGACCTTTTTTGTAGCTGCATAAATGGCGCGCCTAATGCAGCAAACCGTATGTATGTTTGTACTTCAGTTTTGAATTTATATGAAATGAACATTTTTCAGCAAATTGTACATCGATTACGTTGAAAATTTGAATTAATAGATCATTATTCGCGTTAATTGCGATGTGTTGGTGGAATCATTTTGAAGCTGCGAACGAGGAGCATTCAACTAAGTAAATAATATGGATTTAAATACAATACTTTTTGCGTAAGGCCTTTTGAACTTCTATAAAATGACCATTTTGTATCAATAAATATTTTAGAAAAATCCCACTTATAGCTTCTTATTCGCGTAAACTAGACAAAAATTGTAAGGACGAGTGATGGTATTCTCAATATGAGTGATTGGCGATGGGAAAGTTGGGGCTACAGTGTAAATAAATTTTCTTAGCCTTTTCTTCTTTTTTTTCAATCGGTTTTACTGAATTTTTACTGAATTTTTACTTACTACTGATTTTTTTTTCACTTTACTGAAATTTTAATTGTTCATGGTTCCCATGAACAATTAAAATTTCCCAAATACTCCATCCTAAAAATTTATTCCCTCCTCCTCATAATTTATGACTTTCAAGTTACGGCATTGATAGACATAGCATTCGATTTGTAAAAATCATTTCTAGCGATTCTAGATATTTTCTTTCTGATTTCTACATGGTTTGGATTATATATTGAAAAAAAACTAGGAGGGAGGGGGGATAAATGTGAGACAAATGGAAACAGCCGTACAAAAACATAAATTAAAAATTCTACATAAAGGTATCGAGAGTCAATAGATATTTTCTTTACAAATCGAAAGATGTATCTTTCGATGTTGTAGCAAGTTAATGGAGGATGAAAATTATAGAGATTTATAAAGAAACACTCTCTTGCCGTTTTCTATGTATTTCACGTCTTCTTTGATTTTTTTATAACATTCACAATAGCAGAATTTCCTTCTTTTTTTTACATATGTGTCCGAAGTTTGACAAATATCCGTCAAAAAATAAAAAAAAAAATTTTTCGACCCAGACGTTCCCCTAAAAAAAAAACGTATCCAAACAATGATAAGCGCATCTCTGTCATCGGTCTCCGTCTAAGCGCGTAAAACTTCCTGTTCATTCAGAATTCCAAAATCTAGTTTAGTAAACAAAAAGTTTGAC